CCAAGACTTTCTGGTGCTGTCCCAAGACTTTCTGGTACTGTCCCAAGAATTTCTGGTACTGTCCCAAGACAGCCTGTCCCAAGACTGCCTGTCCCAAGACTGCCTGTCCCAAGACTGCCTGTCCCAAGATTACCTGTCCCAAGACTGCCTGTCCCAAGATTACCTGTCCCAAGACTGCTTGTCCCAAAACTGCCTGTCCCAAGACTGCCTGTCCCAAGACTGCCTGTCCCAAGGCTGCCTGTCCCAAGACTGCCTGTCCCAAGATTGCCTGCCCCAAGACTGCCTTGAACCACTGTACCTCGTACCACCACTCGAGCTCTAGTAAAAATTTTCCCAAAAAAAACCCAACCTTACTTGCCAAACGTTAAAATCACAATCCCCTTGTATTTATTTCCGTTTGATTTTTTGCCGCAAGTTGAAACCCAACTTGTTCTAGGTGTCTTGTGATCACTTGTTTGTCCAAAACCGATTAAAACTCTCTTCTTCAAAAGCGTCAAAAGTTTAACAGAGAGAAAAAAAATAAAAATAAAGATGAATATCGATAAAAGCAAAAAAAGAATGTACCCACCTAAAATTCAACGGTGACTTGTGTCAGCCCTTTATCTGAACAACAACAAAAAAAAATTCTGGTACCTGATTGCCACGCGTTCTCCTTCCCCCTGCTAGCGATCTTATGGGGTATCACAAAAACTGTCTATGTCCGTTCCCGCCTACCGATCCGACCAGGGTACCTACCTGAATTCGATGTTAAATTTGGATATCCGCTTCTTATAGCCGACGCGTGTAAGAATCTAATGTAACTAAATCGACGATGCCGATCAATTAGTTTTTCTAATGTGTCCCCCCTTTTACACTTTACAACCACCAACCTCTAACCTAACCAGCCCCCCTTCTAACCTCCCCCCTCTTTAGCCGAAAATTCCCTTAAGCGCCGGGTGCTAAACCTCTCGAGAGAAACCGTAGACCTGTTTCCAGGCCTGCTGGAGTAAAAACTTCCTCAAAACAATGGGGTTCCGCTCATCCAATTTTACACTTATTTCCTATAATGTAATGTGGATTTTAACGATACCCGTTAGACCAACTTGAGAACGCCCCGTTCTCTCTTGTTGTTCTGATTCCGTGCTGGTTGTTTCCTTGACTCGTCCTGCACCTGATCATCAGCACCACTTTCCCACTTGGCTGGTCACCTGTTACAGTCAAGTCTCCTAATGGTCCAGCTCAGTCCCTGTGAACCACTTTCCCACTCGACTGGTCACCTGTTCCAGTCAATTCTCCTAATGGTCCAGCTAAGTTGCAAGCTATCTGAAAACCCTTCACAACGCCCCACACTCGGGTACCTTTTCAGATTGCTGAAATGATCGAAACGATCGGTCTTATAAAAAAAACAGTATGGGTATACTATTTAATTAATATAAAGGTTTGATCCAACTAATTTGGTGTCAAAGTCACTGTCATTTTTTGTTTTATAGTTTTTGTTCCTTTTTCCGTTCTTTTTCGGTTTTTGTTTCGCTTTTTGTCTTTTGCTTGTTTTTTCGTCCCCTCTAGTTACCTCCTTTTACTCGGTTAGCTAAGCCTCGTTCGGAGAGCGTCCCAGGAAGTTTTCTCGAGTTTTCTTAAAAAGCTATCACGGTACAACCGGAAGGTTTACACGTTACCGCTGAACCGTACTAGCGGTACTCTAGAATGGACATTTAGCCCGGAGCTGCGTCAAGTGGGTTCGACTCCGTAGTCATGATGTCGTAAAAACACCCAGGAGCGCCATAAAAACACTATGTAACAGTCGCCTACTTCGGTCACATATGAGGCTTAAGAAGAATAGGCCCTATAACCATTGGCTCAAGAGTCAGGGAAATTATCTCTCGTGTTTTTCTACCTCAAAACGGTCGGAGTCAATTCGGTTCGCTTGCGACATGAGACTAAAAACCCGTTACAGCTTGAAGGCCACTACCAAAATACCCCCCACTCTAGAAAATAAGAACGTCCCTACACTTAGGTCTCAAAATACCCAAAATACACGAACGCCGTTAAAAACAGGGTCGGAACCATCCGCACAGTTACTTTTTATTAGACAGTGAAACTTTGATCCATTTCAGATGGATCAACCTAAAACTCTCCTTATCTCAAAATAACAATCATAAAACACACTCAAGAAAACTAAATTGAAGACTCACATGTTTTTCAAATGGAGCAAATGCTTTAATTGCTAGCTTCCTAAACAAACGTATTCAAAGAGTAAACGTCAATGGAATTTTTTCAGACTGGATTGAAATAAAACGAGGTGTCCCACAAGGAACGGTACTTGGTCCGTTGTTGTTCAATATTTATGTCAATGACATACAAGAGCGATTATATGAGGGTTGTACTTTAGTTCAATATGCTGACGACTGTATGGTTTTTTCCTCTTCTATAATTTCTGAGGATGCTTTGAATCGATTGCAAAAATCACTCAATAATCTAACGGAATTTTTTGCAGAGAACCAATTGAATCTGAATGCATCTAAATCGGAATTTATAACATTTTGTCAAAAAAATGATAGCAAAAATGTGGATACTGATAAACTAGTAATTAGTGGGCATTATGTAGCCAAAAAATCAGAATGCAAATATTTAGGCTTAATTCTTGATTCAAGTTTATCTTTTCATGCTCAAATCAAAACAATTCTCCACAAAATGGCCCAAGGGATTAAAACTATTGATACAATTGGACAACAACTGCCGACATTATCATTAGTTGCCTTGCTTCATTGTCTTGTTTTATCACATTTAGATTATTCAGCAATTTTTTTACAACAAATTAATGCTACTTTGATGCTATCTCTGGAGAAACAGTTGAACTGGGCGCTAAAAAGAACATATTTCAGATCGAATTTTAAATCTTCTTCCCTTCTTCGCATTAGCAAATCGTTCATTGGAATCGAGAAAAGAATTGAGTTAAAGTGTATAACATACTTATACCAATATCTTACAAACAAAAAGAAGGCTTTTGAAAATACACTGAGACTACCGACTGCCAATTATAGGCTCAACGAAAGAACGAAACAAATTATTTTTGACAAACATTGTTCGACTGCTTCTCTACAAAAATCATTTTTTCATTTGACTTCTAAAAAATGGAATTCACTGCCCATAATTTTGCGCAATTTAGAAAAATCGAAAACAGAATTCAAGAAAAAATTGAAAGAATTTTACGTGAGTGAATTGAGAAACAATCCTATATGTACTAATACAAATACGTGGCGTGATTACCGTTTTTGCTAGTTCTATATTTTTTAATTCAGTTTAGTTTTTCTCACATTGCTTGAAAGAGAAACTGTATATACTCTGTATATACGTTGTATAATTGGACTATCTGTAAAATTGTTTGTAAAGTTTTATTACCAGCTTGTTCCTAATTCTTAAATCTTTAATTTTCTATAGTATCCGAAACTTCATATACTTTAATCAACCAATTTCCGAACTGTAACCGATTTTGTTTTTTTTTTGTTTTGTTTATTGCTTGTTTTCTGATGTTTTGTTTTTGTTTGATGTAACCAATGAATTTATAACCAATTTTATTATTTACACTTTGCTACACTGATGCCTCGGCTTTTTATTGTATAGTAATTCAAGTGTTCTTTCTTCTTCTTCTTCTTCATGTCAGCCTACTCGAGAATTAGAGGTAAGTAAATTAATGAGCAACTCAAGAATTAAGTATGATAACTTGAGGAGTTTAATACTAATCAGTTTTAATAAGGAAAACAAGTTTTGACTCTAGTAATGAAGTTTTGGTCTGAACCATTGGGACACCCCAGCTGTCCACCTTTCCACTGAGGGTTCACTCTAGTTCAGCTCGAATAATCGTGATCTTCTTTCGCAATCGCTTCTTTTCCTATTTCAGGATAAGACGGCTCTACTCGCGTTTTATTTCGTAACTGGAAATTGCGAATAGCAATTTCCCGCTGCTTTTTTAGGTACTTTCCCGCGATTGTAAATCGGATGTTCTGATCTTGTTCTTTCGATATTTTTAATTGTCGCGAGAAAGTTGAGCATGACAGGCTCCATTCGAAATATTGAAAACTTAAATTTCCTCCCAAAATTGCGTGTTTCGTGTTTCTCAAGGTCAAACTTCCAAATATGACCGACTGGCACAAATTAAGTTAATCAGAGCGTTCTGATGAAAGCCGGAAACAGTAGTTTTTTTTTTGTCGACCCGATGTTAGAAAGACTACCAAAAGAACTGGCTTTGGCAGAGACGGTGAAAAGCATGTAGAGCTGTGTTTAAACGCTGGCCAGTCGTTTTAGAACCTAGCTTTATTTTCCGTCGATATGTACTTCCGGGCGAATGTTACAGTGTTTGATAATTGTGTTGGTTAACACGTCGGGCCAAAGGATTATGTCTCTTGCTTTACGTAGTTTTCCCTTTTCTAGAGAAAGTCAAGGTTCAAAACGTTGTGGATAGAGTTGGGGTTGAGACTCAATCCTTTCGATGCAAAGCTGATGCGGGATAACACTCCCTTCAAATCGTTTGAGGCTACTTCGGTTGCGGCTTTCAGGGAGCTGGCTCCGATTATAAACACCATTAACAGTTAACACTCTTCACCCACGAAGCTAGAGGCGTGGGACTTGTTAACAATATTTTTCGATTCGGTCCTCTAGCTCAATTTATCTGAAATTACAAGGTATGTGAATTTGAAATGGACAAATCTATTTAATAAGTGTATCAAAACAATTAGCCTTTAGTTTATCACAACCTTGCCTGCTTTTAGTACTAGTAGTAGTAGTAGTAAAAGCATGGTCGGAATAGCTGTGCTACTTGCACAGCAACCGGCTGTCCTTGCCTGCTTTGAATTTTGATGATGCTTTTTGTGACTGGTCCACATGATGAAGGATAAGTTTTTAACCTTGATAACATTCCTATGATCATTAGAAAAGAGAAAAAAGTTTCGAGAGTGTATTTTGGTGGCCTAGTTGAAATAGCAAACATTTGATCAAAAAGTTTGCTTTCTAAAAGATCTTATGAAATGGGCCCAAAGAAAAAGATAAAACAACCAGCTGCTGTGATGACCAGCAGTGATGAAGATGATTCACTTAACATTGGGAAGCAATTGGCGGCGATGGGTCGAAGAGACAACGAATCACGACCGCTTGCAGGAGCAGTTCCGTCGTCGTCAATTTCAATTTTGGACTTTTCGCCTCTTCGACTTGAGAAACCGAAAGAAACCAAGGCTAAACGGGGGAAAAATGTTCCTTCTAAGTCCACTAGGCCACTGCCGATGGTGGCAGGTTCTTCAGGTGCTAATGTAACTGAACAACGTTTTCTGCGTAGAATTAGATCCGTATCTAGCGACAATCCGGGAACTAGCGCTTTGGCCCTATCTGATCATGGAATAGCGAATAGAGCACCAGGACGATCGGTTTCTCAGCGAACAAACCATATTAATTCGAGATCGCCAAGTTTGGGATCCAGGCAAAGGAACCAACCAGATACTAATGATGCATCAGGAATCGGACAAGGTTTACCAGCAGGATCTCAGAATAAACATGGAAATAAAGGAGAGTCATTTCCACAAAGAAGACGCAAAACAACAAAACCGAAGAAAAGGGTGGATCAAGAAATTAAAAGGCTGCAAAACTCTTCTTCACTTATAATTCCTAAGCTGCCATTTCAGCGGCTTGTAAGAGAAATTACCCAGAAGTACTCAAAAGATATGAAGTTTACGGTTCAAGCAATGGCGGCACTTCAAGAATCCACTGAATATGCAATAGTTCAGTATTTCCAAACTCTCGTGGTATTGATGACTGGTTTTGACCGAGTTACTCTAATGCCCAAAGACATGCTCGTGCTGGGAGCTATAATGGAATGCGCGGATATTCATTGGCCGTTTATTAAAACAACGGAACAATTATGATCAACGGAACAATTATGAACAATGGAACAAAAAATCGAAACAATGCAATTTGAAATTTAATTAGATGCAAAACAAATTAAACCTTAGTTGTTTTTTGAAATTTTATTTGCTAAAGCAAAATACGAAAGTCATGCTAGTATTTCATCAAAAAATTTCAAAAGAGACTTAGCCGTGAAACGATATTTTTATTGTTTGAACGAAGCAGCTTTTAAATCTAACCAACTGACTTTATTTGTCGTTTTGTTGCATTTTTGAATGGATGTTGTTTGTTTTATTGTGCAATTAAATTGTTATTTGAAATGGATTTTGTTTGCATCTATTGCGTTACTATGAATTGTATTCATTTTTTTTTTCAATGAGCATTTATTCTCACCAAGTCGAAGCGCCGCTTACACGCCGAAGCGACCTCTACTTTATTTTAAGCGATAATAGATAGTGTGAGTTCTCTTGTGACTTTCTTGAGTTTGTTTGGCTTCTTCAAATTCGTGGGATGAAATGCCGATTGTCCCTTCCTAAAATTAGAATATTGCGTGCCGCAATGCATAAATTTTTTGGCTAACTCGTTTACTTTAGTGTTAAGGAAGCGTTATCAATTCAAGCTAAAGACATCTTCTTTGTAAAGAATTTGTCTCCGGGGTTTGTCGCATGGAGTCAAATCCCTGAGAGGGGGCGTCTGCCTCCCTAAATCCGCTGCTGAATTGTCTAACAGAATCATTGATCAGTTTGAATGTTTACTTTAAAATAAATTCATATTCTACTTCTTCGACACACTTGGCTTGGCTCGGCACAGCCGCAAATCTGGTTCACGGAGATGTGCCAGTTGACGATAAGCTAAAAAATGTTCTTGGAACGCTATATTTTTGATTGTTTTGCTCAATTTTCGAGCACATTTCAAACTTCATCTAAGTGTGCACTGGGGTGCTTTTCCAGTGATTTAAGAAACATTCATTTTATTTTAAATGTTTTTGAAGTCATCTTGTGCGCAGCTAAATGATTTTTTTTCTGTCTTTGCAACCTCCTCTCAATCATAAGAAAGTTATGAACGGAGTCTTGACTTTACACTAGCTTCAGCTTAGTGTAATATTACGAGCCTTCTTTTTTCTAACCTAGAAAAAAGAAAGTGTTAATTAAATAAAAGTGTGCTTTATTTCTAGCGGCTAGTGTTTAGAGCCAATTAAGCTTCCGTGGCTGAGTGGTATGTGTATGAGACTCTTAATCACTAGGTCGCAGGCTCGAATAACAGATGAAGCCGAATTTTTGCAATTTCGAGGCTTTTTCTAGTTTTTATTGCATGTAATAGAGCTGCTTTTTGTCGCGTCCTAGCAAGTGTTTGCGAAGCAAAGCTTGGCTTCTGTATTAAATGGTGGATATCGAAGTACGATTGCCCCTCAGTGGCGGTACCCTCGCCATGTACATATAGTATGGCCCAAAACTCGTACAACTTTTGGTGCAAATTTCATCAGACGCAGCATCAATCCGTGTTAATACTGGGAACGGAGACAGCCAGTCCTCCCATTCCCTCACAATAAACGATATCCTGCTAATCAGAGCTGGTATAGAAAGTAACCCTGGGCCTGCACCTGCCCGACCTGTGATTTAAGGATAACACGAGCACACAGAAGTGCTTGGTGCTATCTAGGCGGGTGGGTTCAGCAATCATTACAACACCGCAAAGACGAACTACTAAAACGCTCTAACCTAATACGCCCAAACTGAGAACCACCAAAACAAGTCCACGAACAACCTAAACTCTCCAACCAAGAACCCTAAAAACCCTTTCATGCAAACGACAAATATTCCAACTTTTACAACTAAAGGCTAAAGGCTAAGGGTATCATACTGTAATTTTGGAGGTAAATAATATCTCAGTGGTATTTCAAGAAAGCAACCTGATTGACTCTTCAGTCTCTGAGCTTCTCAAGATTTCTCCTTAATTACCGAAAACAGAAACCCATCTAATTAAAATCTAATCGGATGTATCCTACATCAAATTAATTAACGTTTTATTCTCCCTGCTCAAGCTGCTCTTCGGGTTACGTATCATCAATCAGCTCACGTTAAAATACAGAGGAGAGGACGCCATCATTCTAAGCGATTTTAATCACTCTATTTCTCAAGCCTAACTGAAGATGTTAGAGAAAACATTGTAGTGCCAAAGGAGAATCTGCCTACCAGAATAATCACCATCAGTGAAAGCTCACCATACATCAATAAAGCTAACCCTTCCTTAGAAAATAATATCAGTTGAACCACAGAGCCTTTCTTGGTGTCAGATCATCAACCAATTATTCTTGAACTCAGTTGTGGTGTCGAGACAACACTTCCATATTAAAAAAAAAACAGATTGACAAGGCTCCAAGGAATCAATTGAATTTGCTTTTGCTAAATGTAAACACCCTCAACCAGTGCTTCAAGGAGATTCTACCTTCCAAGCAGTTCTCTAAAATGCTGCCAGATGGCACATCCCACATGGCTGTATCAAAGAGGAGTTCAAATCAAACTTACCTTCTGATGCTGTCAAATTATCCAAACAAAGAGATGAACTACAATTCAACAAACCTTAACATCAATTTTTCCTGCTAAACAAGCAAATCATTGACAATGTGAACAGACACGAACGTGATAAATGGATTGAGCCCATCAACACTCTTAAACATCGAGGATTTAGCCACAAACTCTGAAAGACTTGTCTGGCAAAAACACAGACCATACATCAAACCAACCAATACACAAAGGAAACGGGTGTACGATGCTAAAACATGCGCCAATCTGTTTAATCAACCATCTAGTACACATTAACCATCACCAACTAAAAATAAACGCCGCCTGTTAAGGAAAATTAAGCGTGAAATATCCTTTTCACTTCCACAGGGCGTCAAAACGCAAGCAAAAGTGAAGCTCAAGGCTCTGACAATATCTCACCAATCCATCTCCACCTCCTTGGTGAAATAGGTCTTTCCTACTTAACAAGAATTTTATATACATACATACACAGCAAAAAATATGACAAATTTCTTGTGCCGGACTTTTTATTTCGACCTATTCGACTTTATATTTCGATTTTGAGTTTGGCTGCTTGTTTCGAATTGTGTTAGACATTATGTTCCGGCTTTGTGTTCAACTTTTTTTTCGACCTTGGGTTTGTCTTTTTGTTTCGACTAACTCGACTTAATACTTCGACTTTGAGTTCGACTAAAGGGCCTTCTCGACTTTGATTTTTGGTCGAACTCTGACATGTTTCCGATTGATTCGCAACATAATAATTCGCAAACCTTGAGCCGGTAACCAATATCCATCCCTAAGGACCAATTCAAGTTAGGCAAATGCGAATTTTGTGAAGAACCCTTTTTCAAAAAGGAGAAGGTGAAGGGACCGTTGAAAGGATCCACGCTTTTCACAGTCAATTTATATAGCGCTGCACTCTTTTTTATTTCATTTATTCTGATAGAACATGAAAAATTGGAGTTAGCTGTTTTCATGTACAGTTTCTCTTTGGTTGTTTTAGAGCTTTAGTTGACACGCGAGCTGCATTGAATTTTTTAATAATAAAAAAATTGTCATCAGGTTAGTAACTAAACATTATTCTTCTCTTAATTTTTACCTAACACCCAGAAATGCAATTAAATTGACAATTTTTAATGAGTAATCTTTGATATGACTCAATTCTGAATTTAAATAACTTCGTTCACATGCATTGTTTTGCTAATGGTTTTGTTTTCAGCAACCAACCTGATCGCAAAGAATTTGACATCAGGTATGTTCTAATACGCATGTCATAATCTTTTACTTGTTTTTCATTCATCGTTGTTCTTCACTCCTGAAGTTTTGATTATTTTTTTGATCACTGAAACTGGGGAGGAGTTTTTTTTAATCTGGTGAAAACACCAGAATACATAACTCCTGAATTGGAAAAATATTCTCAATCCTTCAACCAGGAAAAATAAAAGAGGATGGGAAAAAATTGAAGGCCGATTGCACTCTTGTCTCCAGTTGCAAAGCTGATTGAAAGAAAGTAATATGATTAGTTTAATAACATGTAACTTGCCGACTATCAACATGGCTTTGGGGAAAAATAGATCCACGCACACTGCACTTACCTGTACTGTTACCGGAATTAACAATGGCCTCAACCAACCGGGACTGCTGCTCAACGCTATTGGTTGGTCTTGTTCTCACCGCAGCTTTTGAGGCATTGGATCACGGTATCTTAATGCATGAAATCGAACATTTACAACAATACTCAAAGATGGATCACATCATATTTACAAGGACGCGCTAATTTTATAGAAATTAGAGACAAAAAATCAAAAACGCGACGAATCAACAACGGGTTCCTCAAGGAGGAGTATTGTCGCCTGTCCTGTTTTATATCTGCATGTCCTCTATGCCTCCCCCATCAGCAAACAACAGCTAAATTACCACCTATGCAGGACAACCATTACTACCACAGGTCCTGATATCTGAAAAGTAAGAATAACTGTCCAACCATATTTAAAAGATCTCTACAACTGTGAAAATCGTTAAGTGGAAGGCAAGTGGAAATCGTTAACTTTCATCCGACAAATCTTGAGCACCTGTCCTCACGACTTGGACAGAAGAGATCAAACAAAACTAATGTCATGATTGAGAAAGTATTTCAAACAAGCAGCAAACCCAAAACCCTGGGCGTAAATTTTGATAGTCTTTTGTCTTTTCCACACCATATCGGTAACATCATGAACAAACTATAAAAGTGGAATAATTTACTGAAAAAACTTACCGGTACTAACTTGGTTTGCAGTAAAGAAACACATTGTTTCTTATAATGCCATTTGGCGTAGTGTTCTCAATTATGCTGCTCCACTATGGACACCCTCGCTTAGCAATACCAGATGGAATGACCTCCAGATTCGGCAAAATGTTGTTTTAAGAATTGCAACTGGTTGCACTGAAATGAGCCCAATTGAGCATCGTCAAATCGAAATCTTGCCAGTCAAAACACACAATAAAATATTCTACAAACAATTCTTAGTCGGCGCTCACCAACCACAGAGCTGACTACCACACCACACACTTAAACTCTAAATCCAGAAAAATGAAACAGTCTGGCTGAAAAATATCCATATGTAATAAAACACCTCGACGAAGATTAATTTATCTCACTATCAGATTACAAGCTCGCTTCGAAACAAGTTCACCGGACGGAAGTTAATAACTATATAAACATTAACCCTATGAAACAAACGGGTTCAACGAAACAAACGGGAAACGAACAAAACTGACAATAGACGACCTGTGGGAGACCAACCTGTCGAAGCCACTAACTGGCTTCCATTATAACATCTGAACTGGAGGGGTTTTGTAGGTTCCCCGGAAAAAAAAGAGTTTTTCTCGGTTCTCCGCACTAATTACAAACTGCCCGCCAGAACTGGGCGTGGGAGTTTCGCTCGGTTCTCCGTATCTAAAAACGCTTCCCTAGAACGGGAGTGTATAGTCACTGTTTGACCCATTGTGGGGTACAATAAATAATCGACAAAAGCGAGTTGAAGCTGCAGACGAGTCGATGCTTGAGAGCAGCTACTAACAACAGTATATATTAAACTGGTCAATGAGATTTCGTCTAATCAATTACACTTATGAATTGTGATAACTTATGCGCGTCTAATTTGTTTCTCTTTTCAGATCTCATGAACTTAAATTGGAGCGAAGTATGTTGAAATGAACAAAACTACATGAGCAACTGACGTGTAATTCTGGCTACCCAACAATCAACCAAAATACTCAAATGGCGACTACCTCTGAGCAGAGAAACACTGGCGTTTTGTCCGGACTCCAATCAAACCTCGGTAACATACATAATAATCATTTTTAGAGGTGTGTGTATCCTTGATCGTCGTTTTTCTTGACTTTTTTCACTCCCCCTTGATTTGCCTCTCAGTTTTGAAAAATATAGTTGACGTGTTCAAATTGACTTGAACCTTGGCCTTGTCTGATCATTCATTCTCTTTTCAAATGCTGTCACACTATGTCTGTTCTTGCCATATGTAGCATTTAGCCGTAATATAGCGTTGATTTAATTATTTGCTGTTAAAACTAATAAAATTGCAAAATTTAAATCCGATTTTTTAAGTTAGATTTACATTAGACAAGAACAGACCAAGCAGAAGTTGCTTGGAAGATAGTCAGAATTGATATGATATAGTATACTTTTTATGAGTGTTAATTTTCATATAGAGGGCTTCCTACTTTGCTGAACAAAGTTCAAGGAAGGTTTAGGGAATAAACAAAAAGGCGGCATTTGGGGAATTAAGATGGCTAATTTTCGCTACCAAACAAAAACATGTAAATATATGCGTTTTGACTGCGATGTCCTAAGAAATATTTTACGTTAAGAAATCTATTGGTTTTAGCTTTTGACTGCTAGCTGTTTTACGTCCTCCCTCAGCCCCACAGGGAAAAAACGCCCAAAAATAAAAAAGCTGTTCCCATTAAAGGTAGTCTCCTGCTGGATCCGGATCTGGCGGGGGGAGGAGGAGAGAAGATAGAGATCATGTTCCAGCCAGTGGGCAGTGCACCCATCCTCAAACAGAAGAAGTTCAAAGTGGACCCCCACAAGACCATAGAGTTCCTTCACTCCACCCTCAAAAGGTTACCAAGTCTCAAGAATATAGGGAAAGAAAAAAAAACGATTTTATAGTCATCATGTAGGACATTGACTATAGGGGATAAATTGTTTTGTAGCACGCTGGCTTAACCCGTTTCATTGTGAGAAGCCTGGGCTGCTAAGGGTTGCGATATTTAAGTTAATTTGAGACCAGTACGCTCCAAAGTTTCTGTGTTTTGATAGACGCACTCTCAAGGTATATGTCATCCGGTACGGGTTGTTAAACTGTATTAACGTTAACTAATTATATAAACTAACTGCGATGGTTGGTCTTTTGACCTTGTAAGACTCAAGAGATTGAAGAGGCTGAGCTAAAAGCTCAGACAACAATAAACGGTTCAGCAAAACAGTTGTTTTACTTCGCTCGTGTACAACTTATCGTTTACCAATCCGTTCGGATTCGGTAGTAAAACTTAGCATTCGTAAGGGTATGAAAGTATATATAAAAACGAGCCCTAATGATTCGTTCGTTGCGTGGCCAAGTGAGTACGGAGCACGGCTCTTCATGAAAGGGTCGTGTGTTCGAGTGCGAGTTCGGTGCGTTATGCAGCTATAGATTTGCAGTATTTCTCTGGCTGGTCTCAATTAAAGTAACCCTGCTGGTATTTCATCCAGTTACCTTTCGTTCGCAAGTCACATGATGAATGATGACATGATACAATGCTGGATAAATAATCAGAATTGTCTTATGACAACTAATTAGTTACAGTTTTTAGCACTTTTTGTTGGCAAGAGCCGGTTACTGTGCAAGTAGCACAGAATGTTCCTACCATAGTCTTAAAAAGTACTCAAAATGGCGCAAACTAACACTCTCAAATGGCGCAAACTAACTCAAAATGGCGCAAACTCGTGTCTGCCTAGGACCTAGGCTAGGGCGTAAGGCCCTTAAGATATTGGCTCTATATTAATATATAGATATAGCAAAAGTCCTCCGCTCAGGAATTCGACCACCTGCCGACCCAAAAGGTCCCCCTTTACGATTTTGAGATATCCATTTTTGGCCAACAGACCTTGAAATATTTCTAAAGGCGCCTTTGGCGCCAATCTATACTCATTTTGAGAGGGGGGCGCGCGTCGAAAAAACGCAATTTTCAGTCAACATTTTCGAAAAAGTGCCTAAAACGTCTTTTGGCCTTTTTTCAAAAATATGCCTGCGCCGAAATTTCGGGAGAGCTAAGAAAATCAATTTGGTTGACCTCAAATTTTTCAAATTTTTTTGAAAATCCGCCTCCCCCCTCGAGAAATTCCTAGATCCGCGCCTGTATAGGTCTTGATGATTTTTTGGTTGTTTATTTTAGTTAAAAAGAACTAAAATAAACAACCAACTAAATTTTTTTTCTTAAAAAGAAGGCAAACTCTGCTATCGAACAGCTAAAATGTAAGGGTCACGACAAACGTAGAATAAAACTTGAATTTTTGATCCAGTTTTTTCGAATTTGGTTAATTTTTTCTAAAAGAGCGAATCATCAATTGCTGTTGGATTTCAAAGGTCTTTAAGGGCGTATATTTTTGCTTTGAAATTCGACAATTCAAATGTTATCAAAAGTGGGCTGTTTGTGGAAATCAAAGTTCTTTTCATCTTGTTCTGAAGGGGTGGTCGGTAAATATAAATTTGTATGAAGTTAACTGGATCTTAACGAAAAAGTTCAATTGAATGGAAAAAGTTCAATTGAATAATATGTTTCCTTGAACTTGATTTCATGTTTTCGAATTAATTTATATAAAAAATGATCTGTTTTTGTAATGGTTAAATATACTATTATAAAAACATTAAAATAACTTTGATCAAATGCTGGGTGTACTTCGTAAACGCTGATTTGTTTCATTTCAGACTGCTCAAATTGACAGAAGGGGACTCGATGTTCCTATACGTGAATCAGGCATTTGCACCATCCCTCGACTCAGTTTTGAAACACCTACACGACTGTTACAACATTGACGGAAAACTCATGATTCATTATTGCACTACGCAAGCGTGGGGCTAACTCTATTTTAAAACACACTAGGTGAAATTCCATCAATAGAATAAAAGTTAGATGATAAATTTAATTTTCAGACTTCACGTTTTTATTTATGAGAGAGGGGTACACTTTAGATGATCAAATACTATTTCAAATACCTTTCTTTGAAAGCAATTTTAGAGGCTTTACTTCAAATTGTGACAACAATCGCTTCACTTTTAATCTTTCAACTTTTATTAAGATCAAGACCATTTCTACACATTCTACCAGTGAGAACGCCGTTGTGCCCCTGCAGTTTTCTCTGGTTTTTTCGTGGGCTGAAATATTTAGCCTCAGCCGCCAGCAACGAGCACGGATCATAGCCAGTTACTTTATCAATTTTAACAAAAAAGTGGCAATCACAAATTCAGAAATGCAAATAGCTTTGAGTTAAGGGGTGGATTTAAGGAGGGAGGGGGGGGGGGTTTGACCCCTTCTCAGGGATTCGAACCCCTGCCGACCCAAAGGGTCTCCCTGTTAGAAAATTAGGATAACACTCGTGGTTGATTAAGAGTGGGTAACTTAAACTAAGACTAGATTAAGTCTAAGGTTGGGTAAGATTCCTACAAGAAATTGTAGGCTTTTATTTAAGACTAAATAAAAGACGGTGATAGCTAACTAAAGTAAAAGAGGTTAAAAAGACTGAATTAGTTTTCCGTTGATTTGTTGCATATCACAAAAGATAGTGAACAAATTCCAAATCTACCAAAAGCCGTTCCGCTTTTGGCAGGTGTATATAAATGAATATCGTAAAGGTCATCGATCAGTATAGCTCAGAGGTTAAACGGTCAAACATTAATAATACATTTTACATTCCCCGCGAAAATTTATCTAAAACCTATTACTTTCACCCCGCAAAAGAAGTATTTGGGCGCTGGGTTGAATGAACAAGTGGTCTCGTTGGCCAAGACCCCATTAGTGGGTCCGATTTACTAGAAGACAGTAATCTCAACAAAGCACCGAGGATCATGAAAGCATGTTTCATAATGACCAAAAATTTAATGAACGGTTAGCAGGTCGAAGGAGCAGGTATACAGGTCGGGGGAGACCGCACAAACGGGCCCGATGGGCTAGAAGAAGTATTATTTAAATAACAACACAAAAGAAAAAAAACAAAGCACCTTGGATCATGATAGCATGTTTCGTAAGAGCGAAATTAAATGTAGTCCAATTACTTTCGCCAAGCAAAGAACTGAATTAGCGCTGGGGTGGGTGAGCCGGAAGGTTAGACAGGGTAATGTCCCCACAGACAGGCCCAATTTAGAAAAGGGTAGTACTATCATGGATAGGTCTAATAATTATCCAGTGGTGGCACCCAATGGGTGATAGAGAATTTAGCATCATCGAAAGCGAGGTTATGAGGCTCAATTTAAAATTTGTAGTGTTGCCAGAAATAATCTAAATTTTGGCGTATTATGCCAGCACTGAGAGTTTATATAACTCTAAAGGCGTTATAATGTTACGTAGCGTTCGACAATAGACAGAATACTAGGGTACTAAAAGTTTGTTTTAATAAAGTTTCTGAAAGTTTCTGAAAGTTTTTAATAACATCTTGACTGGTCCTCCTTACTTCTAATTCGCTTCCCGATTTGCAGCTTTAATGATTGTCCATCTCCTTAACTCCTCCAGCGTCATTGGCCGTCCTAAGAGTTCTATCGCCGAAATGATAGAAGAAGTGTTCAGCCAGTCCGGGTCAGGTGCAATGGGAGCAGATGTTGAATAAGAGGTTTCGGAGGGTAGTCCCGATGGGTTGAATTGAGTGGTGTGGACCTCGGGACTGAATTTGACCTTCTTGAGAGGAGTATGTTGGTCAGCTGCTACCGAGGACTTTGAATCACTTGGGTACACAGAGCTTTCTTCCCGCAAATGAACTATAGTGGGACGCGGAGATGAGGGTGGTGTTAAGGTTGTCAAGTCCACAAAGTCAACTTGATGGCTCTCCATTTCGACGGTTGTTGCTTCTATCATTGTGTAAGCTTGGGGAGTAGTAGGTGACCCAAATGTTGGGCCGTCCTGATTTTCATCTGTTAAATCGACTACACTGGTAAACACTCTCTCCCCTAGCATCTTGGGAGGCTGTCTAGTTCGCATAGGTCTGGTGTTCTGTCGTGTAAAGATCTCTGGCAGTTTCTTCGAGGGCGGTGATTTCACCGGGGATGACGCTTTCCTCTTAGCGGTACCGGACAGTTTCGGTTTTTTAGTGGTAAGGTCAGTGTATGGTTGCTTATTTTCCGCCTCCGCCATGGCGATTGGCTCGACACTCATCTCGGTAGGTTCCCCTCCAGGATTCTCCGGAAGAAACGGCTTTTCTTGATTCGCTTGATCGGCCTCCTCAATAGTGTCCAGGAAAACCAACTGCGGGGTCACCTGTGGGTCCCTATCATTATCACCTGAATCCAAGTCGATCAGGGGAATCTTATCTAACTCGACCTTCTGTTCGACATGATCAGGTATTTCTGGCTTACGATCTGTTCGGTCGGAGATTGGATGTTCCTCCGATTTTGTAGCTTCAAGTGATGTTTTATCCTTAAGGTGTTTTAGCGAAATTATGTCGCTGGCGTTATCGTCTGAGATCTCTTCATATGGTTCGTTCATCGTTCCAGGTTCATTATCGCAACTTTTTCGATGGTCGGGTTTACCCGACGGGATTGATTCTTGGTCACTTTCGGGGCCTATTGGGATTCTTAATCTCTTCCTCTGTTCTTCTTCCTCTCTGAGAAGAGTCTCTAGAGCTGTTCATGGCCGCGTTCCGCCTCGCTATATCAAGCTCTTCGAATTTCGACTGGAGGTTTCTTTTCTTTTGCGTCGTTCTTGAACTTTTGAACCCGACATTTCTCTGCGGTTTTGCAGTTTTCCTCAGTCCTTTAGTTGCGTAGAATTTAACTAATTGATCTCGTTTTCTCGGGCTGGGTTTCTTCTGAGTGGGTTGTCTTTAATAGCTAAATCAGATTTACGTATTACTTCACCATTTTTTAAGGTAGCTGTGTGGTCTGACTCCCTTACAATTTCATCCTTGAGTACTCTATAGAATGGTTCACTTTTCGTTCTATCTTGGACTTTTCGATAAATAGTGGTCTTACCCGGCGGGTTGTTCAGTATTGAGTCCTTTATGCCCAAGGCATCTCGTTTTTCTGCCCGAGATAGCACTTTTACTTGGGATCCAGCACTGGTTGGTACGTATCTCACTGCATTGGAGATATCCTCCGAGGATGAGGAGTTTTCGTCAACGTCTCCGTCTTCTATATCGTCAGGGGCGTCCCAGTCGTGTCTTCGCTCTCGGCTCATGAGTTTTTTGCCCTTATCTATACATAACAAAGTTTTGTTCCAATCAAGGTTATTTGAAGAGGGTGATTTGACCAAATTATGCCAGATGGTGTTTGGGGATCTACCGAAATGTGCTTCGAAGGGAGAGCAGTTAAGCGACTGTTGAGTTACCGTTCTTAGGCATTTTATTATTTTCAGAAGTGCAGATTCTAGCGAAGGTTTTGGACGTTCTTGTGCCATAACCAAGAGTCTTTCCTTAATGGTTCTGATTAAGCGTTCCACTAGTCCGGTAGCTCTATGATCACCCACTGGGCTAAATATCACCTTTATGTTGTGTTCGTGGCAGAATTCTCTGACTTCCTTGGAGATAAAACCAGATCCCTGATCTGTTATAATGGTTCTAGGTATCTCGTGTAGAGCAATGTATTTACTAAGGAAGTTTATGATAGATTTTGCCGATGTGCTGGATGTTATTTGAGCCGATGGGAATTTGAAAATCTATCAACACACACCAATATGTATTTTTTTGTTCCCCATACTAAAGGTAACGGACCGGCGAAATCTAATTCCATTTCTTAGTTTGGTTCTTCGACCGTTGGGAGTTTCCCTAGGGTATTGTGATTTAAAAGAGGTTTCAAGTTTTTACCTGCTTTCACGCACTCAATACAGTTTTCGCCGTCGACTTGGATTTCGCGTTAAATTTTCGGCCACCAGATGTATTGAGTTGCCAAACTTTTCATTGCGAACTGGCCAGGGTGAGCTTCATGTAGTCGGTTGAGCATTGTCGATCTTAGGCATGCTGGGATAACTAATCGGTTGTCCAGATAAAGACATCCTCCGCTGACGTGTAAATTATTTAAGTACGATTTATAGTAATTTCCCAGTTGTAGAATATCTTGTTTGCGGTCTTCCTCAATTGCTTTAATTATCTTTTTCAGAACTAGATCTTGTTTTGATAAGAGGGACATAAATTTTGAATCAAATATTTCTGGCCAAGAAAAAGGGAATATGTTGTCTGTTTTCTTTTTACTAGGTGATCTTTTACGGGGTTATCAAACGGGTTACTGGTACTTGGTGTTAAAGAGTCCATGTTTTTTTTTGTAGTAAGTTCTTTCTGTTGGTTAAATTCAATTTGTTCGGCCATTTCTTTCAAGATGTTAAAATTAGTTTAAAAAAAAGTCTTTTATTTTGCAAGATTAATCACACTGTTCCGTACGTGAGTGAGAATTTTGGCACACTGAAATGTTGGAATAGTTAGCTATCGCTTGGAACGTTTCGGCAGCGTTAGCAATTCGTTTCTCACGTTCTATTTCTTGGCTGGTCATATGATCTGTCGACTGGCCAATCGTGTTGCAGGAAGTAACGTCATGTGCTAAGAAATGTTGAGAGAATTTGTTTCTTATTTGCGACCACGAGTTTCTCGGCATTAGATGATCAAAACCTAGGAGCGTACTAATCTGATTTACTGATGCGATAACAAATTTTTCATCATCCAGAGAAACTGGTACGGGTTCACCCGATGGGTGTCGGGATATATAATCAACGAATCCCATATCTTTACCGGGTAAATGTTCGACAGTAAAGTCGAATGGTAGTCATTTGTCCGCCCAACGGGTGAGACGTGATTGGGCCGTTTTAGTGTATTTGTCATCTTTCAGTGCTCCTATTAAGGCTTTGTGATCTGTTAAAATTGAGAATTGTTTGCCCAATAGGTAATTTTTGAAATGGTCTAGTGCCCACACTAATCCCAGTAGTTCGAGTTCATTGGTGCTGTATTTTAATTCGGCTATATTCAAAA